TGTGACAGTGAAGAAACATTTTCAGGCAATCTATCTGTGCATATTAGGCATGGAATTTGTATAGCAATTTAGCATCACCCACTTTAAGAACCATCAAAGTATTGTTTCATCAAATCAGCCATCTCAGTTCATCAAGCTATTTCTAGAAACATTATCTCTGAGATCAGATGACCTCAATTCAAATCCTACCTTTGATATTTACTACTTATGAGGGGCCATTCATTTAACCTCTTTGGGCTTCAGTTTCATTACCTGTAAAAATAAGGGATTGTGTGACCCCTCCCAAACTTTCCCTTTAAAAAAAAAATTTCTCCCAACTTTGTTAAAACATTTTTTAACTTTTTTTAAAGTTTTGAGTTCCAAATCTAGAAATACAGAATATTTGTACATAGCGGTTTACATGTTCTTCTTTCTAAATATCTACCAGTATGAATGAATGGATGAATAAAATGAATGAACAAATGAAGAAAAACAATTTAATAAGCACTTGGTATATGTTGGACACTGTGCTAAGCTGAAGCCACAAATATGAAAAGCAAGATAGTTCTTGATCTTAAGGAGTTTATATTTTAATAGCTGAAGATAATAGGGGTATAGTGGCTAGGGGGGGTTGTTTTGATTAATGAAGTTACAGGGATGATGAGTAAAATCAAAGAATGATTGATTGACAAGTCTTTTTCAGAAATGATTTTATTCCCATTCCAGAGCCAAATATGGAAAGGGGAAATAGGGACACACACAAAGTATCATGGCCGTGGAATAGTCTGGTGGGTCTGATTCAGACTAGATTTAGTAAAAGGAAGGAGAGAAATAATAACAAAATTTGATAGCAAGATGTGGTCAAAGGTTAAGCTTTTGTGTAGGTTTTTTAAATAAAAGAGGAGATCTGAGCACATCTGTGGGCACATGGGAAAGAATCACTGGAGAGGGAGAGATAGAACATATAAGAAAAAAAGGGTAGGAGGAGATTGTAGGAGAGCTAGGACTTCTCCCAGCCCCCATCTGAAGATAAAGGAAAGTAAAGCTTACAAAACTAAAAAAAAAAAGTCACCAGATTAAAAGATGTTAATTAGGTTGGTTAAAATGAATATTGAAGTTTTTTGTTAATTTTGTTTTTCCATGTTATAAAATATTCATATCTGGATTTTGAAAAATTGGTTATGTGCATATTAAGCCTTTTTGGTGTTGAGGTTGAGGAGAAGTTGTTTATAAAAAAATTGGAAAACAGAAAGATCAGTGAAAAATTGCATTGCAAATATAACTTCTTCAGAAGAAGCTTAATATAACAAGAGATCATTCAGTTTAATTGGATGACTTAGGGACTGGGGGAGGGGAGAGAGCAAGGAAAACAACTCTGAAACAGCATAGTTCTTGTCCAGCACAAACCACGCTAAGGTTTCAAAAATATCTCTTGGATTAAGCAATAAAGAGACCTGGATAGCCAAAGATGAGTTGAGATAACTATAAAGCCAAGGGAAGTCTATAGATTTCATTGGTAGACAGCCTATTGGGTGCATTTCTCTCTAGAATATCTTAAAGCACTGTTGAATTCCTGACCCTTTTAGAAGAGACAAATTATTCAACCACATTTCTAACATTACTATTTCAAATGTCAGTCCAAGACAACATATTAGAATAACAGTAAAGTATTGGTCAGCCTTACCAAAGAACCTCAAACTCACAGTTCACGTGGGTAAAAAGGAGACAACACAAGCTTCCTAAATTCCTTGGGAACCAGAAATTATTTTATTTGTTTGAAGTATTTGATGTCAATTGGAGAAATGAGCTTTCATTTGGAAAGAAGATGATGAACAGCACAAGTTAGACATTATATAATTTGGCAAGAGTTCCTATTTTATGGGAATAGCCCCACATTTAATCACCAATCCTAGTTTCCAGATATCTCACAAAAAAGTCATCTGCAAGCTCCTTTCTAGGTAGCTTCATACACCTGTTGAACAGTGGCCTCTAAACTGTTTTAATCACATATCCACTAATAAAATAATTTGACCACACACGCCAATATCTATATGATTACTTATTTGTAAATTAAATGCATGTACTACTACATTAATTGACATAAAGTTTACACAGAAATAGACTTTTTTAAAAGGAAGAGATAAAGATGAAATAATATTAGATCCTAGAATCAATAGAAAGCTGTTGGAGTTTACTGAGTGAAGTGACATTGTCAGGCCTGTTAGGAAAATCATTTTGGCCTCTGTGTGGCAGATAGATTGGAGAGAGAAGAAAGGCTTGAGGCAGGGAGGAAGACCAAATGGGAAGCTTTTGAAATGGCTCAGGTGAAAGGTGATGAGGGCCTGACTGAGGATAGTGGCTGTATAGGGAGTGGGAAGAGGAGGGGATGTATACAAGAATCATAGAGATAGATAAAACAGGATTAGGCAACTGATTGAATGCTAACAGGTAGGAGTCAAAAATGACACTGAAGTTGCACATCTAGATAACTAACTGGAAGGATGATAGTGCCCTGGATAGCATTAGGGAAGTTTAGAAGAGGAATGAGTTTCATGGGAAAGTTCACACAAAGAGATCTTCCATATAGAGCATAATCCATCCATGCCTGCTCATCCTGTGGTATTCACTCTGTGCCATGCCCCACCCCAGCAAAAAAAAGAGGTAGGGTCAGTCCCTTACCCACCAGTCACTACCCAGGCCACCTAGAGGAGTCACAAGATGATCTGAAGAAAGGGGGTGTGTACATTGGGAGACTGAGGGGCAGAAATTTTCCCAATGGTACCTATATAACTGCTGGTATGCAACATGGCGGTTAGGTTATAACTCCACTGAATAAATGTTTATTGATCTGAAATTGAACTGAACTGCCCAGAGGTACTAACTCCTGGTTTAGAAGGAAGTTGGGAGCTTACATGCAGGAGGGAGGAGAAAGAAGGAGGGGGAATAAGGTCATGCAAATAATTATTTCTAGTAAAATAAAATGTGAAACACACACATACACACACACACACACACGGATTATAAATTCTTCAGGGGAGTAAATTAAGTTTTTGTTTTCTTTTCTTTTTTTCTTGGTGGTGGGGGAGGGCTGAGTGTTTATATCCAGAGCTTCAGGATAATGTGGCCTTAGAGCAGCCAAGTGGCATAATGGAGAGAGTGTTAAACATGGAATTAGAAAGAACTGAGTTCAAATCCAGCCTTAGCCATTTACTAGCTTGCAAGACTCTGGGCAAGTTGCATAACTTCTATCAGCCTCAGTTTCCTCATCTGTAAGATGAAGATAATAAGTGTATTCCCCCATCTATCCAAGGTTGTGGTGAGGATAAAATGAGATATTTGCAAAGTGCTTTGCGAGCCTTAAAGCTCCAATAAATACTATTTATTATTATAGTGCCTTCTACCTGCACATAATACATGTTTGTTGTTGGCTATCATTGAATTTGATTGCAGCAAAGAGACATAGGTAACAAAGGGCCAGAATTCTTTAGGACCTTTCTTTCAAAGTCATTCCCAGACCACTATAGCTTCAGGTCCCTATCAAAGGCCCTCTCTTCTGGACACAGATATGAGATTTAGTCTGGGACAATGGAGAAGGGATGGGGGAACCATTTCTTCTCATTTTCTCCTACCCTTAATCATCTGCTCTCATAACCATTTGAATTTGCTAGTAGGAAGTTACACTAAGTTTAATAATAATAATAATAATAATAATAATAATAATAATAATAATAATAATAATAATAAATATCAATACCCTTGTGTTGGGATTTTTAATTTTCCTAAGGAAAAAGAGGAGGAGGAGGAGGAGGAAGAGGAGGAGGAGGAGGAGGAGGAGGAGGAGGAGGAGGAGGAGGAGGAAAAACCTTAGATGTAACCAAAAGGAAAACTCTTCCTTTCTGCTGTCTGCCTCCTAGGCATCAGAGGGCTCTGGATTCCTGTCAGGAATGGGGAGTGACGGCTGGCTCATTCCAGAGCTGAAGCTTCCAGGAAGTAAGTCCAAATTTGACTTTCCAAATTAGCAATAGTACTACAACCCACCCTGAATTAGCTCCCTGGATTAAGTTGACAGTTACCAGGAGGCATTTAGATGATTCCAAATAGATGCCCATCAGCCTCACCACTGAATCATGGCACTGATATTAAGGTTATGCTTTATAGTTATTTAAAGCTAGGGGAACCACAAGTAAGCTCCTGACATTCTAGACTATAGAACTAGAATAAAGAGATGATCTTGTTTGTAATCCTGGAAAAGCCGCTATAGTCATGAGAAACATTACTATTTGACTCCAAAAAATAATAATGATGATGACATGGAGGACAGCTGAGAAACTGCTTTAAAGTTGGTAGAGTATTATTATGTCATCTCATTTGAACTTTACAACAACCCTGTAAGGTAAGTAATATAGGACTACTTATCCCCATTTTACAGATGAGAAAACTGAGGCTTAGAATGGTAAAGTGACCCACATAGCCAGTAACAGTCAGAAGCAGTATTTGAGCCTATGTCTTCCTGACTCCAAGAAAAGCATACTATTTACTATTTCATTCTTCTTTTCAGAGAAAGGAAGGAAGGAAGGGAGGAAGGGAGGAAAGAAAGGAAGGAGGGAAGGAAGGAGAGAAGAAAGGAAGAGAAGGGAAGTAATAGAAGGAAAGAAAAGAAGAGAAAAGAAAAAAAACAATAAAAAAGAAAGAAACAAAGACCTTTCTATACTGACCACCACTGCCTCCTGAGAGTAGCTGGTCAAACTTTCAGTGAAGTCTGTCATTTGTAGAGGGCTTATATTTGTAATAGCCCTCATCAGATGTCTCAAATTAGCATTCTTCTAAATAAGACATTTTGTTGGGGCAGGGCAAAACACTAATTCTCTGGTGTTTTGGCAAATAAAACAAATTACTTTGAAAACTTTCCCAGTAGTGGGTGGATGAATAAAGACCCCCAAATACAGCAAACTGTGCAGCCTGCTAGACTTGATAGCAAAGATAAATTTCAAACCAGATGCAAGATTTTATGCATTTTTTACCAGATTTTACAATGGGCTGTGGTGCTACAAGTCATTATTTCCACTGGAATTGATGGCTCACATCCAGGACTCAATGTGATATTTTTTCCAGCAGTAACTGAGGACCAACCATTCTCCTCTCTTAAGAATGCTCTTCCCTGCAAGAAAGAAATTAAGAACCTGAAATTTGACCAGAGGATGAAAGAAAAGAGTTGGTGAAGGGATGAGCAGATTTGATCCACAGGTTGCCTCTTCCATATTCCTAGCCCATCATTACCATCCACTTGCAACCTCACACCTGCACCATATTCCCCTGTGAGTCTAACAAGAGACATATGGAAATTATAACTCAAGGTGTTCCAGAACTCAGGGGTTTTTTTGGTTTTGTGTTTTAGAACTTGGACTCCTAACTACATGACTTTGGACAAACTGGTTCAAGTCAATAAGCCCTGGGCACTGCCAATATGCCAGCCGCCAAGCTAAGGTCTAAAGGACTCCTGACTTTCTAGGAGTCCTCTTAGGGTGGAACAAATGAAGATATTCAAGGTTTCTGTCAAACCTATATGTTAGAGATGACCAAGCCTTAATCATCTCCCACCTGGGCTATTACAACACTTTTGTGAAGAAGAATGAAGGCAGCATCGAGTGGTGGATAGAGGACAACATTTAGAGTCAAGAAGACCAGGGCTCAAATCTTACCTCAGACACTTATCTCTGTGATCCTAAGTGAGTCCTGTAACTTCTCTGAGTATTGCTTTCCTAATCTGTACAAAAAGGAGGTTGGATTCCTTGACCTTTAAGGTCTCTTTAAGCTTTCAATCTATGATCCGAAGACCAGAAGAGAAAACCCAGTACCATCATCTCCTGAGAGCCTGAGGCAAAGAAAATAGATTTAGGGAATTCAAAAGCTTCATTCCACAATCACTGACCAAGGAGGAAAGAGATTTTGAGCTGGAAATCTTCCAGCAATGAAAGCCATGATCATGGTCCAGAGATAGTTGCAAGAGACACAACCTTGCCGTTGACTGGTCACTCAGAAACTGGATCACGGAGGCAACATGGTGAGGAAGTCTATTGTTGGAGACATGTTGCAGCTATGCTAGGTCAGGGAGGAATTAGTCATGGCAAGAAACTTTCCCTTTGAGGTAAAAAGTTTTCTGCTTTCTTCTGAGGTAAAGCAAAAATCTTGAGTTTCCAGTTTCAGATTTGTCTCATTGGCTTTGTTGTTATTCAGTCATTTCAGTCATATCCAACTCTTTGTGACCCCATTTGGCATTTTCTTGGCAAAGATACTGGAGTAGCTTGCCATTTCCTTCTCCAGCTCATTTTCCAGATGAGAAAACTGAGGCAAACTGGGTTAAATGACTTGCCAAGGTCACACAGCTAGTATGTTTCTGAGGTCAGATTTGAACCTGCACTCATCAGAAAGGTGAGTTTTCCTGATTCCGGGCACAGCACTCTATCCACTGTACCACTGAGCTACCTGTCTCATTGGCTAAGAAAGCTTATTCCCATGAGTCTCCTAACCAGACTGGACACCTAGGTAGTGCAGTGGATAGAGTACTGGCCCAGGAGTCAAGAGGAATTAATTTAAATCTGGCCTCAGATCCTTATTAGCTGTGCGACCCTGGGCAAATTACTTGGCTCCAGTTTCTTCAACTGTAAAATGGAAATATTAATAGCACCTACCCTGCAGGGCTGTTGTGAGGATCAATGAGACAACATTTGTAAAGTGCTAAACACAGTGCCTGACCCATAGTAGATGCTATATAAATGCTTATTCCCTTCCTCACCTTCTGCTTCCATTTCTCTTTTCCTCCAATACAATTTGCCCTGCATTGACTAGCTGATCTACTATATCATTGTTTTTTTTAATATTGTTCTTCTGCTCAAATGTGTTCAATAGTTCTACATTGCCTTTAAAATGAAGTCAGTTGGTCAGTTAACAAACATGTATAACATACATAAACAATATATACATATGTGTATATATATATATATATATATATACACAAACAATATATGTATGTATGCATACACAAAAAATATAGATCAAGGGTTTTGTGAAGAAGATAATAGCAGGTGGGAGGTGGTGGGGCTGGACGAGAAATGCCTCATTGCCAACATGAAAAAAGCGTGTGGCAGTTTTGTCTTCTTGTGTGCATGTTCTTTGCTTCCATTCTATATTGTAAGGTCTTCAGTTCAGAGAGCGTGTCATCTATCTTTGGATTCTCCACAACACTTAGCACAAAACAGGGCTATTGATTGGGCTGCAACAAATCAAGCCAACTATTTTTTTTCAGTCTGGTATAACTTGCCTGCAGCCACATGGGCCCAGATCCAGGCCAGCCCCCTGAGAGCTGTAAACCTATTGACTTTCCTTGAGAAGAAGGAGCCAAGCTTGCCTGTGAAAAGAACAGTGCTCACCTCGTGGGTCCTGATGGACATCTGGGGAATCTCTAAAGGCGAACTGAACTAGGAAAAGAATTTTCAAGAGGAATCCAAGTCTCAGAGGGAAGGTTTGGGAAGGTGAACTTGGGTAAATGGATCCCAAAAGGTCTGCCAAAAAACCAAAGGTATCAGGTTCTGTGCTACTCCAGTTCCAAGCTCTTATTTCCACTGTGGGTGCTTATCGGAGCCATGGCCATCTTTGCCCTTTCCATGTCAGACAGCTATGATTCTCTGGCCTGATGACAGGTATTCTGTGACAAGAATTAGCTTAATTTGTTATGCTGAGGATGACAGAAGGAAATCCCAGAACAGTGAGAGGCATGTGCTGAGCTAGTCAGAAATGCATTTGTAGGGGACATTTCAGTTTATTACATGTTCCTTTCTTCTCCCTAAGCAAAAGACTAAGCCCACATAGGACAAGGGGATGATGAGACACAGAGAGAGACAGAGACAAAGAGAGACAGACATACAGACCTTCCATTGGCTCCAAAGAGAACTGAACATAAAAACATAAATCTTCCCAGGCAAACATGTGTTTCCTGAATGGTCTCCAAAGAAGAGTCCAAAATGTCAGAGACTAGCTAAATACCATTGGAAATTTCCACTGTTACAAAATTCTTTTCTATATCAAATAACTTGCTTTTCTCCATGAATCATGTCACTCTCTTCAAAGTACCCTTCATCTTAGAGTCTTACAATTTTTTCCCACTGAGACTTGAAAATCATAGATTTCAAGTTGGAAGAGATCTTTGAGGCCACTGAGTCCAACCCCCTTCAATTTACAGATGAGGAAACTGAGCCCCGTAGAAGTGGTGTTGCACCCTCATAAAGTCACATGAGTATTAAGTACTAGAGGTGGGGTTTGAACCCTGTTCTCTGATTCTGAAAGAAGTGCTCTTTCCACTGTGCCACACTGATTGTCACCATCTGTTTTAAAGCCCTTCACAAGATCCACAGGCTAACCTAACTTACTTGTCTTCTTACACTCTGCTCACCTTCTCTTTGCTGCTTCTGGGAACTCATTGCTCTCTTCATCTGATCAGCCCACTTGTTTCAGCGTCACAGGTGCCATCTAATACAACCCATACCTAATGAGACATCTATGTACCACTTACCCAACAAGAGGTCTTCAGGCTTCGCTTGAAGACTTAAGAGTGAGGAAGAATGTGCTATCTCCTCAGGCAGTCCATTCCACTTTGTGCGGCTCTGATGGTTAGTAACATTGTTAGAATGTTACTAATGTTAGTAACACTATTCCCTTCCCTTGAACCAAAATTTACCTCTTTATAATTTGCACTCATTGCTTCCAGTGGTGTCCTCTGGAGCCAAGTAGAATAATTCTAATCACTCTTCAGTGTGACGGCCCTTCAAATAGTCTTTCATTACCAAAGTCACCCAAACCACCCCTCCTAACTTAACTCCTCATTTCTCCATTCTGTACATCCTCAGTTTCTCTTCTGACATGATCTCTGGCCTCTGTACTAGGCTCATTGTTCCTCTCTAGATGTTCTAGAATCTAGACCTAAGCAATGTTCTCCACTCAGAATGAATATAATTCGTCAAATGTGGTATGACCATGGTAGAGTACAGTGGAATTATCACTTCCTTAGTCTTGGACACTATGTATCTTATAAGACAATATAAGTTAACTTGGGGGGTTTCTTTGTCTGTCATATCATACTAGTTAACCATATTGAGCTTGCAGACCACTAAATTCTCCATAGCTTTTTATAGTGACTGCTATCTAGCCATGCCTCCCTGGTCTTGTACTTTTGAAGTTGACTTTGTTTTTCCTTTTTAATTTAATAGTTTGTTTTTCCCAATTACATGTAAAAACAACTTTAACATTATTTTTTTTTCATTTGAGTTCCAAATTCTTCCCCCTTTCATTGAGAAGGCAAGCAATTTGACATAGGTTATAAATTTGTAGTTATGCAAAACACATTTTTGTGTAAGTCATGCTGTGAAAGAAAACAGACAAAAGAAAACAGGAAAAATAAAGAAAGTAAAGAAAATTTATCTTCAATCTGCATTCAGGCTCCACCAGTTTTTTTCTCTGCAAATGGACAGCAGCTTTCACTGTAAGTCCTTCAGAATTGCCTTGGATCATTACATTGCTGAGAATAGCAAATTTATTCAGAGTAGATCATCATACAATATTGCTGTTACTGTGTACAATGTTCTCCTTGTTCTATTCATTTCACTTTGCATCAAGTTCATGTAAGTCTTTCCAGGTTTTTCTGAGAGCATCCTCTTTCTCATTTCTTATAGCAGAAACTATTGTTTCATATTCCATATGAAGTTGGCTTTTAAACCAAGTATAAGTTTTCATTTTCAACTCTATTAAATTTATTGTATTAGAATCAGCTCAACATTCTCAACTGTCAGAATATTTTTCATCTCATCTGTCATTCAACAAAACAGCTATCCCTCCCTCCCAGCTTTGTCACTTGAAAAGGTGGTATGTATATCATCTATGCCTTTATCCAAATTGCTAAAAATTGTGAAGCAGAATATAAATTAGAGCAAATCCATGCGGTGCTCAAATGGAAAAACCTCTTTCCAATTTTACATTGAATTAATCACTTGTTTTGAGATATGACCATTAAGCTAGCTCAAAATTCACTTAAGTATACTTTCATCTAGTCTACATCTCTCTAATCCAAAAGAATAGAATGAGAGCCTTTATCAGTACCTTGAACTAAGATAATCTTTAACATTCCCCTGAATTATAAGTCAAATTATTATTAATCCAATTAGAAAAGGAAATGAAGTTAGTTGGGCATGACCTGTTCCTAATGAAACTGTATTGGCTCTTTGTGACTACTTCTTCCTATTCTAGATATTCCTGAGGCATCTTTTTGAGAATATGTTCCAGATTTGTGCCAAGAACTGAAATTTGGCCTTTTGCTTACAGATTTCACCCATCTCCTTTTGACAATCAGGATGGTTTCCCCAGTTCTGTAGCATTTCTCTCATTTATATCAGTATTTTAAGGATCACTGAGAGTGACAGCAGTACTATTAAACAGGTTTGGGGTTTTTTTGTTGTTTTTTCACTAGCCTGGGGTATAGTTCATCTGGCCCATTTCTGTTCTGTCCTTCCTAGTATAAAGATAATACTGCATGTCAGGAAAAAAGCAGCAAATGAAAGTTGAATAATTCTATCATTTCTTGAATTTTATAAAATTATTCAAGACAAATGAAAGAATTATTCCATCCATACTGAGTCTTATCTGTCTTTGATCCCCTTTAATATTTAAATATCTTTATGGATCTATGATCTCTTTGCTATAGCTACTTCCTGCAAGGTGCAGGTTATAGACCATCCATGCCTTTTTACACCATGAAAATCTTATCCATGTCCTTCTATGTATACTCCACAGAAGACCTACCCAATATGTTGAAGTCATTCCTGGACATATTTTAGTATTTCATAGATACTATTGCTACCATAGATACTGAAGTTGTCTGTTTAGTTATTTTTAATTCCTTTCTACATGAATAATCCACCTCTCTTTGAGGCCATAAAATTCCTGGATTATCTATTGCACTAGTAGTTATACACAAGTCATTATTGGTAATATGTTATAGATTATTTATATTCACTTTACACCTATGTATTGCCTTTTAGGTCATTTGCTGTTTTGATTCTTCAGAGATAATAGTGTCCATGAGTTATACCATTATAAGAAAAACAATTTTTAAAATATTATATATGTATGTGTCTGTGTGTTTATATAAAGGACTAGCTTAATATCATTGAAAGTACAGAGTAATTACCCCAAAGCAATCTAGTTCACTCAACTCCATACCATAGTATGAGCAATATATATTATCTACTTGATGTTTTTCCCATGTGAATTACTAGGTTTAACTCTTTTGAGTGCTCATGGATCACAGTGAGAAGTCCCTGTAATATTGTGGGGCTCGATGAAATCAGACCAACATTATCCAGATAGGAGCTTCTGGAGTACTTCATGATCTATAGCGAATCTCTTTTTCATTAAATTTCTGTTACAGATATCCTTCATGACACTGAAAAAAACATTTAGGTGAGTGTGTGTGTTATTGTTTTATGTTTTTTAATAATCAACAGATTTTTCAACAATGCCATTTCAGTAGATCTATTTATTAAAGGAATCTTGTGATCTTTACATATACATGGGAGACACGTTGTTGGAGGAGAGCCTTAAAGGCAATTGTTCTACTAATTCAGATGCATTTGAGGAGTCCACAATCAAGAAACCTAGTTGGTTATTATACTCTCTATATCTCTCAGTCAATTGTGTGCCTATGAAGATATGGTCTACTGTAGAAGATTATCTGTGAAAGCTTCCTTATTCCCTTGTCACATTTTCTTCATGGATGTCCTAGATATATGCATAGATTAGTCTCACAAAAATTTTATAAAGATGAGAAAGAAGTTAATGATATCTCCTTGGTTATCTTTAATGTCTATGTACACATGCATATGCATATATGTTAAACATTGATACATTGTATGTGAGTTGTTAATAAATAATACTTTAAAAATAATAAGCTGCATTGTTAGAAGAAATTTTCTCCATGGCATTTTCTGGGCTTGTTTATTTTTTGTGGCAATTGGGGTTACGTGACTTGGGCAGGGTCACACAACTAGTAAGTGTCTTAAACCAGATTCAAACTCAGGTCCTCCTAACTCCGGGGCTCGTACTTTATCCACTGTGCCACCTAGCTGCCCCAGATTTTCTAATGCTGAAGAAATCAGACAGAAAGAGAAAAATTTAAAAATGAAATACTGGTGATATTTATCTCCTGTATTTTCAGCTTGCAGGTGACACTTGCTGTACCAGAAAGCTTTTTACCATCCCACAGAAAAAGTAAAAATCTCTCCTCCTATCTAATTGGAACAGCTTAGAGGAATACAAGTAGGTAATACATAATCACCCCAACTGCACCTGGGCTAGAATGCCAGCCTAGCTCCAGAGGAAGGTGGCCTCCTCACTTTGGGTTCTGTGCTTTTTTTTTAGGTAAGTTTGTACCAGAAAGGCTAATTAAATTAATCAGGGGAAATATAAATGCTATATTAAATGCTGCATTTTCCTGACTTTTCCTTTTTATTAAAAGAACCCTTCCACACTTTGACACAGGCACATGCTTTCCCTACATTCAGAGGAATAATATTATTCTTTTCCTGGAAGCCAAGTATAGACCTGAAATGAATGCCCTGTGTCGAGGAAATCCATATGGTATGGTAACTTTGGCATGGAATCAGAGGGCCTCTCTGGTTTGATCTCCAGGTCCTCTTGTGCCTATTAAATAACTGTTAAATTTTCTTCCTCTTCTGTTAAATTCTTACATTAGGTCACGGTTGCTATTTTTTTGTAGGCTAGTAAAGTATCTGTTCTAGCATCTCATGGGTGATCCTGACACACCAACCATCACGTAGCCACACCAACATGATAACCAATAAAAAATGAAAATGCTAAGAATCTGATTTACATGGGAAAAGAATTCTTTTAGAAAGCACTGCCTGTAGTGAAGGGAACTGCATCACCTGCTTCCTTCCCCATTCCCAGATTAAATAGTACATTAGTAGAGAGGGGCTGAGGGAAGTGGCTTTAGAGACCATCCTGAAGTCTGACATTTGGAGGTAACTCTGTGATTTCAGGGAATTAGGCATCAGCATAAAGGTGGAGGGAGGACTGTTCAAACAAGTTAAATACATAGGATTGTAATAAAAAATAATTGTTTAAGTACAGCTATTAAAAATGAAGGATACATTTTAATTAAATAAAATTAGGTTCCTTATGAGTTTGGCTCAGAACTAGTGAACATTCAAAATTAAATATAATTCCAGAAGGTATGCAGTATGATTAACATGTTACTGGAACCTGGAAGACTAAAGTAGTATATTATATTCCTAGTTGTATTACTCATTCTCTAAGTCACCTTGCATATATCAAGGAAACTCTGTGTCTCAGTTTCCCCATCAGTAACATGGGTAAGGAAGACCTTCTCCTTTAACTAAGTCATGTAACAGAGATGATATTGGAATGAATGATGAATAAATGAATAAAAAACATTTAATGAGCTCTTAGTATCAAGCATTGTGCTCCACACTAGAGATACATATACGTACGTGAGTTAGTCCCTGACCTCAAGGAGTTTACATTGTAATTGGAGGAGACAATATCTATAGGGGATTGATGGTCAAGGGAGGATCCCATGATATTCAGAAAAGTACCACAATGTATAAACTCTGCTTTGAGTTCATAGATGATACAAAAGTCAGAGCTTGTAGGAATCTTAGAACTCATCAAGGCCAATTGACTCACTTTGAAAATGACAAAACTAAGGCCCAGGGAGCTGAAATGACATATCTGAGGCCACACAGCCAGGTGGTAGCAGAGATAGGTCTCCTTATTCTGTGGTTTATATTTTTATCACTACACTGTATTGTTCTTTTCTCAGAGAAAGATACTCTAAAGGACTCTCAAACTCAAATAGATTTGTGATTTAATTAAGGTAAGTATTTCCTCCTGTAATAGAGATAACAAACCATGAATGCTCTATAACTCTAGGTCAAATCCTCTCATAAATTTGACACTGGGGTGAACCCAATGGGCCTGGAACCTTTCTCACTCTCCCTTGGTATCTCAAGGATACCAATGGAGCACATAGCATTTCCATCAGTTATTCTTGCTTTCTTTTGACATGTCATAGGATCATAGAATTAGAGCAGCAAAAAACCTTCAAGGTCCTTCAGTCCACCCCTCCATTTTACAGTTGAGAAAACTTGGGCCCAGAGATGTGCAGTGACTGAGGTTATACAAGATAACAAGTGAAAGGGCCAGGATTTGATCTTAGGTCCTCTGACTTAGATCCAGCTCCTTTTCCACTGTACCAAGCTACCCAGATCTTCTTTTTTTTTTTTCCTCATTAATTTCTTGGATGAGACATTTTATTCTCCATCCTTTTCATAATTCTGTTTATAAAGTTGCAGCCTCCTGACTCCTAGCATGGAACTTGACACCACCCTCTGGATAATATTCATTTTCAATTCTTTGGAGACTGTGGTGTTGTCTATTTCTCAGTCATACAACAATGCCAGAAGAATAGCATAATAAGTGTTTGTTGATTGATTGATTTAATATTGGTATTAAGAAAAAAAGATGGTCCTTTGTTCAGAGATAAATTTTGGATCATCAAAAGAACCTTGCAATTTTCCATAGACAATCCAGCTCACTAGCCTCCTCCTGTACAGTCCAATTCATTGTCCATTTGTAGTGCCTCTGCTAATTATTGGAACATAATAATGGGCAAGACCTATAAATTATAGATCCAGCTGTATATCATTGTCTTCATTGTAAAGAAATAAACAATAACTTGTGATCTTTCTATGTTTGCACTAGCTGCCTCACAAGTTAACTATGAATAAAGTACATTAGAATTATCCAAAAGAGAACTATTTTCCAGAAGGCAAATTCATGATAGCATTCCACTACCCCATTTCCATTTCATAGGCATTTGGTAAATATTGTTTGATTGAATCACTAAGAGCCTTCCTCAAGTGCTCAAGATACAAAGACAAAAACAAAGCTGTAAAACAGACCCTCCTTGGGAACAGGGTCTGTTTTAGAGTTTTTAGGATCATATTCCCCATATTATATTATATATACTTAAAATTCTCTTGTATACTGAATGGACCAGGAAGAAGGAGGCTACAGATACAGACAGTAATTGTAAAACATATTCAAACTAATATGGGGGATAGGATGCTAATTAGGAGGATTACAAAAATTCTAGGGTAAAATAATAGCCTTTAGAAGAAGTTAAAGATTCTAAGAGGAGAGGGAGTGTTCCAGGGATGGGAGACAGTCTGTGCAAAGGTTCAGAGAGGGGAGATGAATGTCATGTCATTATAGCAAATAGGACAGTTTGACTGAAACTTAGATTGCATAAAAAGTCACATAGGGCTCTCCTGAAAAAAGTAGGCTGGAGCTCTGGCTCTTGGGTCTTAATATTTGTATTTTATACAAGAGCCAACAGGGAACCACTGGAGCTATTAGAGTGAGAGAATGATATAGTTAGACCTATGCTTTAGGATCATGTTTACAGGGTACAGTTAAGGAAGTGATGGAGAAAGTAAGTGAGCAGTAAGGCAGCCCAATGCAGTGGAAAGAACATGAGACTTAAGTCAAAAGCCTTGAACTGAAGTCTCAGTTCTGCCACTGACTGTCTACATGGCCTCTGGCAAGTCAATTGATCTCCAGTCTACATTTTGTTATTTGTCGTATAAGGAAACTATTACATGACCTGCCAAACTTCCTTATAGGAATATTATGAGAAACAACTGAAATAATGTGTGTGAAACTGTTTCATGCTTTATAAATGTAAGGTATTATTATTACTTGAAAAACTTTGCTATGGTGGAGCTGTCCAACAGTGCAATAGGCTGACTCAGTAGGCAATGAAATGGAGATATTCAAGCAGTGTGAAGGACCATTTGTTTTAAGGAGATTACTCTTCACATCCAGGATAGACTGTTGTTTTTGTTGTTTGTCCTTTGTACTCAAAGAGGATCAATGACATCACAATACTGGGCTCAAAGTACAGTGTATTCAACTGTGGCTTATCTGTCCAATATGATCTCAGAAGGTTCTACCATAGCTGGGCCACAAATAGTCCATTTGAACATTTAGAATGAATATGTCTCTAGATTTGAACATTTCACATTTCCTTTGTGCTACGATGCCCTCTTTGATGTGGGCAAGCCATGCTGAGTGGTCCTGTGGCAACATCTCCCATGTCTCACAATCGATGTTAACGTTCTTGAGAGAGACCTTAAGAGTGTTTTTTTTTATTGCTTCTTCTGACCTCCACATGAGCACTTGCCTTGTGCTAGTTCTCTTAAAAAAGTCTTCTAGGTAAACTTATGTTTTACAATCAGGCTACATGGCTAGCCCTTTGGAGTTGCATTCTCTGCAGTAGAGTTTGAGTGCTTGGCAGTTCAAAGACTTCATTTATTGTCTGGTATCTTATCTTGCTAGGTGATCTTAAGAATCTTCCCAAGATAATTCAGATAGAGGCAATTCAGTTTCCTGGTATGACAATTGGTAAACTGTCCCAGTTTCACAAGTATACAACAATGAAGTCAGCACAACAACTCTGAAGATCTTCATTTTGGTATGCAGCCTAATACTTCTCTTCCACATCTCCTTTTGGCGCTTCCCAAATACTGAACTAGCTCTGGCAATGCAATCATTAACCTCATCATCTACCCAGACATCCCCAAAGAGAATACTACCAAGGTAAGCGAGCTTATCCACAGTATTAAAATTTCTTCTTTTGCTATAACCAATGGTTCCAGTGGATGGTGTGGTGCTGGCTGGTGAAGAACCTCTGTTTTCTTGATGTTGGTTGTCAGGCCAAAATTAGCACAACACTAGATCACCACTGAAGACCTGTAATATTGTTTCTGTGTCTTGTCTCCACCATTAAAATGTGAGTTCTTCAAAGGCATGGACTGTCTTTTGCTTTTTTTGTGTATCCCAGTACTTAGCCAGGCATGTAGTAGATGCTAAATAAATGCTTGTTGTCTTAACTGTGATTCTATGTTAACATGTTTTAAATTCATTTTGATATTGTGACACTGGAAAATCAGATCATTAGGCAATGAGAATGCTCTAGTGGCATCCAAAACACTTAGGAAATTGCTTTTAGGGGGGATGGGAAATCTATCCTGACTTTATAATATTATGACTGCATTCTGCTCAGGCCAGAGAAATTCTGACACACATGGCTCACATGGTATATCAACAAAATAGCGAGGCAGATTTTTATGGGTTTATACGGGTATTGGTATGATTACCTCATATGCCCACCTGAATGAAACTTAGTGAATTAGAATGCTTAGGGCATTCTGTCAAATGAATGTTCTAATGACTTGAGCATTATAGAGTAACTTCTTAATGTTCAAACTTTTTTTCATTAAAATTATTCATACCTCCTTGCCTTAATATCTTTCAGTGGAAACTGAGGGATGCCCATCAATTGGGGAAGTTGTGGTATATGATTGTGATGGAATACTATTGTACTATAAGAAATGATGAGCAGGATGGTTTCAGAGAAACCTGGGAACTCATGAAAAATGAAGTGAGGAGAATATTGTACACAGTAACAGAAATATTGTAAGGGGATGATCAAGTGTAAAAGATTTAGCTATTCTTATCAAGACAATGATCCAAGACAGTTCCAAAGGACCCATAATGAAAAATGTTATCTGCCTCCAGAGAGAGAACTAATGAACTCTGAGTGCAGGTTGAAGCATACTTTATTCATTTTCTTTATGTTTCTTGTTTTTTTTTCTTTTTGCAACATGGCTATTATGGAAATATGTTTTGCATGACCCCATATGTATAATTGATTTCATATTATTTGCCTTCTCAATGGGTTGAGAAGAGACTGGACAGAGAAAGAGAATTTGGAACTCAATTTTTAATAAATGAATGTCAAAATAAATTAATTTTAAAGAAATGTATTTCAGTATTTCAATTGTTATTTAACCTCATTGATGTGGATATTCCCCACAATAATACAGAATGCAACCCATCCATACTTTCTCAACCTGTGCTAATCTTCAAGTTCACACCCTCCCATAAATCCTCCCCAAGTTTTCTACCCAATATGATGAGTCTGTTAACATGAGACAGGCAATTGTTCAGCACAGTAGCTGTCCATTTATTATCCCTCAAGCTTATCTACCTTCTTTTTTGGTGATATGACCCTTTGTTGATATCCTTTATATTATTTCTGTTCATAATCTGTTATATGCATAGATAGCCCATTTATTTATTCCACCAAAGCACTGGCCTTACACACTACTGGTGAACAATGTTCTGGGATACTGATCTTTCTTTTATATTTCAGACTCTTGCAGTGCCCCAGTCAGTATGATCATGCTCATGGACTTACAAAGCTGAAAGGAAATGTGGAGATCACTTTGTCCAACCTACTCAGATGACAGTCAGAAAGCTAAGGTCCAGAGAGGTAAAGTGATATGTCCCAGGTCATAAAGCACTCATGTCACAGAGCAGGCTGTCAAATCCAGGTTTTCTGCATCTCAGTGCAAAGCTCACTCCATTACAACATGCTGCCCCAGAGGTCATACAAGGTATCACATTCTGAGTTTAATCTATACTGCGTCTTGGATGTGGCTCACAAGTTACTGTTTGGTATAAATGCACAAAATCAGAGATTTAGAACTGGTAAGAGACCTTAGAGTCAGTCAGTAAGCATTTATTTAGCACTTATTATATACCAGGTAGTGTGCTAAGTGCTAGTGATTTTAAAAATGGCAAAAGTCAGTCCCTGTCCTTGAGGATGATACCATCTAATGAGAGAAACAGTGAGCAAAAAGGTAAGTACAAACAAGTTATATGCAGGATAAACAGGAAATAATTAACAGAAGGAAGGCATGAGATTTAAGAGAGACTAGAAAATTTTCCTGTAGAAGGTAGGATTTTATCTGGAACATGAAGGAATCCAGGGAAGCCAGTAGACAAAACCGAGGATGAAGAACATTCCAGGCATGGGGGACAGCCAGAGTATATGCCTGGAATCTGGAGATAGAGTATCTTGTTGATGGGACAACCAGGAGGCTAATGTCACTGGATTGAAGAATAACTGGGGGGGAAAGTCTAACGTGCAAGAAGACTGAATGACTTAGAATACCTTAGAGGTCATCTAGTTCAACTCTTCATTTTACAGATAAAGAAACGGAGGCATCATGAGATTAAGTGATTTCTTCAAAATCAGCATCAGGTAATAGTACAGCCAGAGTCTGAATCCTGTACCTCTGACTCCACATCCTATACTTAATCCTCTGATCCACAGGGCTTCATACTATGAACTTTGAACTTTTCTTGCTCTTTCTTCTAAATTCATCAGCAGGAACTATAGTTATTTGAATGTTGTGGTCATACAAGGTATAAATATGTATAAACAGACAGAAATGCACAGCCAAGGTAATTTAAATGATCAACCTCATCTAGCACTTCTCTTGTGACCAAAGAGCAGCTAGAACCAGTTTTGCTATCTGGTTACCCCTGGCACAGAGCACTGTACATGGTAAATGCTTAATCAACTTCTGTTGAATTGAATTGAATCATTGCCAACATTTCCATATCAGAAAACTGTGATGACAAATACCTTGTGACCAGGTTGCTCAAAAGCACATATACAACCCTCAGACAAAGAGATATAATTAAGAATTAGCCCTGCTCCCTCAATTGTAATTTCACCCTCAGTTCTAGTTCCCTTATAAATTTTAGGCACCTCCATCTCAGAGCATTTTTTAGTTATTTAATTTATTTTTAATTTTCAACATTCACTTCTATAAGATTTTGAGTTCTAAATGTTCTCCCCATCTCTCGCCTCCCCTCAAGATGGCATGCAATTTGATATAGGCTCTACATATGTATTCATATTGAACCTATATTCATATCAGTCATGTTGGAAAGAAGAATTAGAACCAATGGGTAAAACCATCAGAAAAAAAAAACAAACAAAAAAGGGAGAAAAAAGAGAGAGCAAATAATATACTTCAACCTGCATTCAGACTCCATAGTTCTTTTTCTGGATGTGGACAGTATTTTCTATCATGAGTCCTTTGGAGTTGTCTTGGATCCTTGCAATGCTACAAAGAAATGAGTCTATCAAAGTTAGTCAATCGCACATTGTGGCTGTTATTGTGTACCATGTTCTCCTGGTTCTGCTCTAGCATCAGTTCACTCAAGTCTTTACAGGTTTTTCTGAAGTCTCCCTGCTCAACATTTCTTACAGCACAATAGTATTCCATTACATTCATATACCACAACTTGTTCAGCCATCACCTCTGAGCATTTTGACAAAATGACAGACAAGTCATTTTTTAAAAGAGGTTGACCTCTGAGCTGAATCCCAGTGCTTTGGAAGAAACATAATGGATGGAATCCTGAAGCTGGGGTCAGAAAGGTAGCTTCAAATCCTACCTTAGACATTTACAGTGTGACTATGGGTAAGCCACCTAATTTCTTTGGGCCTCAGTTCTTCAACTGAAAAAGTCATTTCTAAGTTTATTTCTACGATGCTATGATCCCATGCTTCCGCTGGGTTTCCATGTCTTCCAAGTCATTCAAAATGATAATGCAAAAAAAAAAAAGTCACGGAGGTGAACTCAGCTCTACATCATATCTTTAAAGAAAGTTTACAGGGCTGTGGTAGGTCAGGCTTAAGAAATGGAAACAAAGATTGATAGGATGATCTCATAGCTTCTTGATCAGCTTTGACTGATATCAGGGCACATGCCTCAATAAGCCATTTGGGAAGCAAAGACAGCCCACATGTGCAAACTGTTTGTCTATTCAATCAGTTTAGTTGCATGCCATAAAAACTTCATGGTATGACAGTGAAACATTACAGGAAAGGAAGAAAACACTTATCTTGCATAGAAAAGGTCCTACCAAATTCTACCAGATCTACAGGATTCATAATCGTTCAACATAACCAGAGATTTCAAGGTCTCTTTTGGAAAAACTAGTTGGTGCTAAATTTCTCTACCTCAGAAGTCTGAGTCAAACTTATCGGCATTTGAACATGCTGTTCCAGAGTCTGGGTATGCCAAATCTGATTCCTAGGCCACTAAGCTCTTGCCTCTGGCTAAATAGTGGTTTGTCTGATATCCATTCCAGTTAGATATCCATCACTTACTATGGGCACCAAGGGAAAAAGCATACTTATGTGCTGACTGCATAACTTACAGTGATAAATGTTCAGCGTTTTCTTTGATGTTCCAGTGTTCCGAATTTTAACATTTGAGAGGCTATTCAAAACTGTAAACCATGTACTTAAAAGGCAAAACTTTTTTAAAAATCAATTTCAAACATCCCACAATTTTTCACAACTTAAGACTATGTCAGTATTGCCCTCTGAATGGTATGAAGTTATATGCGTTTAATCCCAACAAAAGATACTTTCACTGAGACAAATCAGTACATCCCCATGAGGCCCATGTGTGCTGGCCGACAGGATATCTGCTCTTAACCAAACTGTAAATAGCTTGGAATTTATAATGGTCCATTGGCACAGTCAGGATTAATATGGCAGTTCAGTAATTGGGGAAAGAATTTCATCATGACATCCTATCCACAAGTCAGGGATGTCCTACAGAAAGTGTGGACATTATTGTTTGTTCTACTTGCCTTTTCTGGTCATTGCTGCAAGAAGACTACTTCTGAACACTATGAAAGGTATCCCAAAGGGAGGCTTGGACAATGAACATAATCCTTGTCATTAAAACATACACATGTCATTGCTGTAGGTAGTGTGGGCAGCAGTGGTCTGCTCTCTTCCTCTGTCCACTCATCCAGTTGATGTTCAGTGGCTATGAGAAGTGGGGCAAATGTTAAGAGTTAAAAGAGGAGATTGGTGGAGTGATGTGTGCTGAAGCTGCCCACTTTGATTCTGGGCCCAATTACTTTTTTTGCTAATTCCCAGAATAGTTTCCTAAAAAGACAAATTCCTTTTGGGTATAGAGTTCCATGTCACTTCTCTGCAGTTATTTAAAAAAAAAAATATTGCTTACAAGGGCAATATTTGTATTTTTTTCTTTAATATACTGCAGCAAAGAAGTGAGTGCTTCTGAGTTTTTATTATCTTGAATAATCCAAAGGACCTTTAGTAGATACACCTGGGTCATGAGGGTAACTTCCTCTTTCATTTTCTGTGTAAACAGAAAGTAGTGACTAATAAAAACAAGTCACACCTACTTAGCACTTTACAGCCTGCAAAACAATGTCTTCATAACAAGCATAGGAAGTAAGTATAATCTCCATTTTACAAAAAAAGAAATGAAATTTCAAAGAAGCAAAAGGACTTGCCCAATGTTACTCAACAAGAAACAGAGTTGAGACTTTAACCCACTTCTTCTGATTTCATTCCCAATGACCTTTCTAGTGCACCTTTTGGCCTCATTCCAAGCCAACTGATGAAGCACCATTAGGAAAATTGGCAGAAGACATGAATTAGGAGAAGAGTGGTAACTAAAAATGAAACACTGACCCCACAGATAAAACAGAAAGTACAATCATCCATCTATTCATTCAACAAGCATGAATAAAGTATCAGTTAACTATATGCACTGTAGGAGGTACAGAAAAATAAGACACAATTCTAAATCAAGTCAATAAGCATTTATTATACTTAATATGATCCAAGCATTGTGCTAGTGGATACAAAGAAAGATAGAAAGTCATCCCTGCCTTCAAGGAGCTCATGATGGAGGAGACAACATGCAAACCATGTAGAAGAAAAATATATACAGAATAAATTGGAAATAATCTCAAAGGCAAAGCAATAGCATTAAGGGATACTAGGAAAGGCTTCTTGCAGAAGGTGAGTTTTTTTAACTGAGACTTGAAGGAAGCCTTGAGGTGGGGACAAAGAAAGAAAGCATTCCCAGCATGGGGAGCAGCCAGTAAAAATGCACAGTTAGGAGATGGGGTATTGCGTACAAAGAACAACAATGAACCCAGCAAGGAAATCAGTGTCATTAGATTGCAGAGTATATATAGAAGACTGGAAAGGTAGAAAGGGGCCAGGTTATGAAGGGCTTTAAAAGCCAGAGGGTTTGTACTTGATGTTGGAGGCAATAAGCAGTGACTGGAGTTTATTAAAAACGAAGGTAATGTGGTCAAACATGTGCTTTTAAAAAATCACTTTGACACCAAAATAGAGAATGAACTGGAGTGGGGAAAGACTTGAGGCTGAAGGCTAATGAAAGACTAATGCAATAATCAGGCATGAAGCAATTAGGGCCTGCACCAGGGTAGTGGCTTACAAGAAGCTTGCAATCTAATAGGAAAGGGATGATATTTAAGTTGTCAAATTTAGAAGTAAGTAGTCAAGGGCAGAGATAACTAAGCAACAGATAGTGTGTCTAGTGGATTTCTTGTCAGACTTCTTGAGAAAAAAATGAAATAAGATGGGAAGAGATCAAAAGAAATTGTCAGCATTGTTTCTAAACATTCTTTCTCCATCTTTCCCACATTCATTTTTGCTGTTTTAAGAAATTGGGGGGGGGGGTAGCTAGGTGGCACAGTGGATAGAGCACTGGCCCTGGATTCAGGAGGACCTGAGTTCAAATCCAGCCTCAGAACTTGGAAATTATGGGATGTTTGAAATTGATTTTTAAATAAGTTTTGCCTTTTAAGTACATGGTTTACAGTTTTGAATAGCCTCTCAAATGTTAAAATTCAGAACACTGGAACATCAAAGAAAATGCTGAACATTTATCATTGTAAGTTATGCAGTCCAGCTGTGTGACCCTGGGCAGGTCACTTAACCCCACTGCCTAACAGAAAGAAAGAAAGAAAGAAAGAAAGAAAGAAAGAAAGAAAGAAAGAAAGAAAGAAAGAAAGAAAGAAAGAAAGAAAGAAAGAAAGAAAGAAAGAAAGAAAGAAAGAAGACAGGAAGGAAGGAAGGAAGGAAGGAAGGAAGGAAGGAAGGAAGGAAGGAAGGAAGGAAGGAAGGAAGGAAGGAAGGAAAAGGGAGGGAGGGAGGGAGGGAGGAGGAAGGAAGGAAGGAAGGAAGGAAGGAAGGAAGGAAGGAAGGAAGGAAGGAAGGAAGGAAGGAAGGAAGGAAGGAAGGAGGGAAGGAGGGAAGGAAGAAAATTGGAAGGGGCAGCTAGGTGCACAGTGGTTAGAGCACCGGCCCTGAAGTCAGGAGTCCCTGAATTCAAATCCGACCTCAGACCAAACACTTGACACTTACTAGCTTTGTGACTC